CCTCCTGGGTTCAGGCAATTCTCCTGCCTCAGCCTCCTGAGTAGCTGGGATTACAGGCACGCGCCACCATGCCCAGCTAATTTTTTGTATTTAGTAGAGACAGGGTTTCACTGTGTTGACCAGGATGGTCTCGATCTCTTGACCTTGTGATCCACCCGCCTCAGCCTCCCAAAGTGCTGGGATTACAGGCTTGAGCCACCGCGCCCGGCTGAAGTCTTTTTCTTTATATTAGAAGCCATCTTGACAGATACTTAAGAAGTGAGAGCAGAGCTGGGCTCTCTTGACCTCTTGTGGTAGTAGTAGTCCCAGCTACTCAGGAGGCTGAAGCAGGAGCCTCCCTTGAGTCCAGGAGTAGTTCTGGGCTATAATGCGCTATGCTGGTCAGGTGTCTGCACGAAGTTCGGCATCAGTATGGTGACCCCCAGGGAGCAGAGGACCACAATGTTGGCTAAGGAGGGATGAATCCGCTCAGGTCAGAAACGGAGCAGGTCAAAACTCCCGTGATAATCATTAGTAAGATTGCACCTGTGATTAGCCACTGCACTCCAGCCTGGGCAACATGGTGAGATGCCATCTCTTAAAAAAAACGTGAGAACAGAAAATAATGTATTTTTCTTCATGAAAAAAAAATTATTGCTTATCTGAACTGTTAACGGGGCAGATAAAATAGGACAGATAGAAAGAGTGATGACAGCCTTACATTTTAAGCATCTTTTTTCTATTTGAGTTCATTTTAAAGACATTATTCTCTATTATTGTATTAAAATAGTTTTCCAAATTCTCATAACCAGTTTATGTTTGAAAAGTACAGGAATAAAATTTAGTTTGTGTTGAAATCCAGCATAATCTGAGGGTAGTCACCTGCGTAATAGAATGTTCGTACATAGGTGTGTGTACACTACCCCTCACCACAAACACATTTACAATCAAACACACATCTGAATTTAACTACATACTAATTATGTGTAGTTTTTCTCCCCATAAACTAAAATTTTTCTACTGTTTAATGCTCATCTGTTCATTTTTGACTCTACATTAAAGCCGTAGAATATAGTTTTTTAGATATTACTGTGAATATTTGTTTAGGAAAGTATTGTATGCCTCAGAGAACACAAAATGAGCTAAATTTTAGTTCATTTGGAACTTTGGGATTCAAAATAATAAGCATAATAAACAGCAGTTCTGTATCTGATAACCTAAAAGCCTTCTTTTTTTT